CCTAGTAGCGATGCCAGGAGCCCCTAGTAGCGTCCTTGCTCCTAGTAATATGGTCAGGAGCCCGTAGTAGCGTGTTTGCTCCTAGTAGTATGGCCAGGAGCCCCTAGTAGCGTCCTTGCTCCTAGTAATATGGCCAGGAGCCCCTAGTAGCGTCCTTGCTCCTAGTAGTATGGCCAGGAGCCCCTAGTAGCGTCCTTGCTCCTAGTAGCGATGCCAGGAGCCCCTAGTAGCGGCCAGGAGCCCCTAGTAGCGTCCCCTTACATGTAATTTTTTACAATATTGTATTTTATCTATCGAAGATTGCTCCATGACAAATTCTTTGCCGACGTTCAATGAACCAAAGCCACAAGCTTTGGTGTACACGCAGTAGCTGTTGTGTTTGATTCCAGTTCTGAAGGCTGTTGCCCCTTGTGCTTGCAAGAGACGTTTCAGATGGTTTGAGCTAGAACGCCAAATAGAAATGATAAATCTAACACGCATCGCATGGCATGTTACCAGCCACTGCTCTCCAGCTTGGGCTACAGCTTCGTCCTCCAGATTCTTTGCCATCGCGATCTCAATGCAAGACCAGAGGCCGATCTCGCATGATCTCGCCGAGTCGAAGCCATGCTCCGCTGTTCTGTTCGGTGTGCAAAAACTGAACCATAAATAGACAGCCTCAAAGTTGATTGAATTCTGCTGGTGTATAAGCTGTGCAGAAAAGACATGGAGTTTTATCCCCGCCCCCCGTATTGGCTGTTGTGGACAACTCTCGTTATTCAACTTGATTTTTTGGTTAATAAACAACGCTGCGGAACCCGACCTTCACTCAACAAGTGCGTGGGGGAGCCACATTGCCGCAACCCATGTCATTTTTCCACTGGCGTTTCATGCCAAACTCACAGCTGCAGGTGGCTGGTCGCTTATCCAGTGGGCTTGGTCGGAGGCTTTGCCCGCTGAAGGTTGGGAAATCGATAAAGCTCCTCAGGCATAGCACTGTTCTTTGCCTACATGTCCACAACAGACCCTGCAGGGCGTAGAACAGCTGCCATTGCATGCAAATGCATTCCATTAAAATGACACGTCAAGTCCTTGATCTTTGTCGGCTCTGGCTGCATCTTTGGACAGTTGGTACGCATCATAACTTCTTTGGCACCCTGTCATTGCTGCGAAAGGATTACTAGTCGAAGTGAGAACTGAGCCTCCAAGGTGTATACCTTCTTCACGCTCATTACGATATTTTGAGAGAAGCAACCAGCACCTCCAATGTTGGTCGACAACAGTGGAGGTCCTGAAACAGCACATACTCAGTGTGGATCATCAGGATCTGTGCTGAGTGCCGTTTCTACCCGCGTTAGGTGCTAACAACACCTGTGCAGAGACTACACCTCACTGCTACACTGACATCACAGAACACTAAGTCACTAAGACATGCCATCTTCAATGTTGTTTCCTTTGGTCTAGAGTCTAGAGATGCTGTCAAACATTTGGGTAGATCACAGCACATGAATCAGAAAATCGCACAATGGCCTATTGTTTTCCCAGTATGACGGAAGCAAGAATAAACAGTCACGTTTCCGAAGTTTAGACAAATTGTTGAGGCGTTTGGGCGATTTTATGGTCGATCAAACTAGCAAACGCAAGATCAGACTTGATGCGCTCGGCGGGCGAGCGCTCACCCAGCTGCGCTCAACGGCGCAAAACAAGTGCATGGACAGTCTGGCTCTCATATTTGTTATAGTAGCCTACACGCAACCTACGGTATAGCAACAGAGACCAGTGTACTTGTAGCTGTTGGCTGTTGGCGTTTTCGTGTCGGTGTCTTCTTCGGGCGTGCCTTGAATGTGCTTCTGGTTGGGGTCATGGTCAACCGCTGACCAAGAGTTGATGCAAATGTGTCAAACTGGAAGCGCACTTGGACTTGAAGCCATTTACACGTGCTTCTGAACATGGTCTGAGCATGAAACATGTGAAAAAACAAGCATAGCCGGCATAGCCCATAGCATCCCCCTAGATATCCCTATCTGGGTTGACCAGTCGAGTGAAGAACGTGTTGCATTGGTGCATCTCACAACATTCCACTGATGCTATTTCCCCAATCATATCGGCATGAATTGGCTGAGCTGCGTGTTAATGCTGAGACGTTTTGCTTGAGTAGATGGCTGCAGCATGTGGACTAGCTGCAAGAGTTTAGAATCAGAAACAGCCCCGACTCCCAGCACCAACCTCTACCCAGACTCTAACCGTTAACCCTTTTTCAGCTGACACAGCCTGGCATCCCGACTTCTAGGGTTAACCATGGCAATGGCAGTGCCGACGTCGCTTGTTACGCCCGCTTGAGCCCCAAATCAAGAAGGTCACGAGACCAACATCATATTTGCTTTTGGCTCAAGTGGAACCATTATCATGCCTGGTATGTTGATTTCAGGATATGCAGCACTCTTGGGAATGTTTGAATTGACTTATCTTAGTCTTAGCTTGACTTATCGTCAACAGGGGAGTTTCTTCCCGCAGTGCAATGTTGGTCCCCTCAAGCTTCGCACAGTTATAGTTATAGTCGTTTGTGAGGCTTTCCAAGAGCCTGGTCTACCACTTTCAAGGCCACACGGTTGAGATTGCTTTTTGTTGCTCCTTTGCCTCCTTTGCTTGGAACACATCGATCATTTGAGAGGAACACTCAATGTTCAATCAAGATCACATGAAACACATATTCGACATGACCTTGTTCACATTCTTTTCCACCTGAACGCGCATTTACCTCTGATTTAATGACAAGGTGATCAGTGGTAAGGCATGACTCAGCATTGCCACAAGCTTTCCCTTGTATATATACTCACTATAATCATGAAAGTAGGGGGAGGACATCGCTACTAGGGGATGTATTCTTTGCATGAAGGATGATCTCGCCAGGCGGGTGCCCCACAGGCCCAGAGCACGGAGCTCTCCGAGCTCCCCAAAGGTCCCTCGTGTGGCTGTCATAGGCTGGGTTCGGGCAGTCGGTTGTATTGTTCCATTATATATGTTCCTTGATGTTCCAAGAAGTACCTCCTGTAAGTATGCTTGATCTCTGATATTTTTTGCTACAGAGCATTTGTGAATTGCTTCAGGCTGTTTTGCTTCCCTTTGGAGGCACCTTCAGAGGCATGGATTCTGTGTCAAGTGACCAATAGTTCTTGTTTTATTGTTGGAAGACTAGAGTCTATATACTGTATAACCAACTGTATAATATAGACTAGCACACAACAAACAGCCTTACACTCATTGTGTCAGTCGCTTGTTTGTTCAACAAGTTTGTCACATGCATGATTCAGGATTGAACCGGTGTATGGTATGGTATGGTATGTGAGGTAATGTAATGATATGATATGTAATGTATATATTGTGGCGTAAGGATATGTTTAGTAAATGTATGTAATTTTTATGTAATGATACTTACTGTAATGATATGTAATGTAATGTATATATTCTGCTTTGCTCTGCTCTGCTCATGTATGTATGTATTTTTATTCATTTATATATTCATATATGTATATATTTATGGTTGTTTGTATGTTTGTATGTCGTATGTCTATATGTATGTTTTGTTTGTTTGTTTTGTTTTGTTTTGTGTTTTTGTTTGTTTGTTTGTTTGTTTGTTTGTTTGTTTGTGTAAAGCGATGGAGCTAGCTTGTCGGCAAAATTGGGTTCGAGGGCGGGTTGCTTTGTTGTGACGACTAGATTAGATCAGGATGCCATGTAAACAAGTCAGTTATGATGTGGGTTTCACAGTGTCACAGTGTTGTACAGTAATGCAAAGCGCCCCCTTTAGTGGTGCAAATGACCCACTTCTGCTACAGATGGCGCCGAGAACAAGCACGACGTGATGTCACGCGGAAGCTCTTCGGCTTCAACGATGAGATGTTCGACTGTGAGAGGCGCCAAACTCTGGCAAAAGACTTCGGCGTGGGCAAAGTCCAATTGGACATCACCCACTGGCTGGAAGAGGCCGGCCAGATTTGCACAACGGAAATGAGGAAGAGTTCACATTCTTGCTCCGCTTGTAAAGCAAATCTTGAGACTGGTGATGGATGAACATGTGCATCATGCTGTCAGACTATTTCCAACCTGTGCTTAGCCACCAGGCGCAACTTGATGAGAACCTAGCAAAGGATGTCATGGAGAAGTTTGGTAGCGTACCACAGCAGGCGACATGCGAACAGTGTGGTGCACCCTCAACACTGAGGAAATCAGCAAATTCAGGGTGTTCATCGTTTTTCTGCTAAGGGGGGAAGAGTGACTACCGCCGACATGACTTATATATATACCACGATTGGAGTGTCTCAGGCCAAGGCACCATAAAAGGGACAAGGGCCAGGGGGCCCCTGGAGGAGGACAAACTAGTAGTAAGAAGATAAGATAAGAAGCCAGTTGTGAGCATCAGCAGTAGCAAGGACCAAGAAAGGCTCAGGTTCTTTGATATTATTTCTCCCACCTCACATTTTGGAGAAAGGGTTCCTAGAGTTCTTGAATGGACAAAAAGAAGGTACAGGGTCCTTTTACAAGGACCCTTAGTAAAGGACCTTATCTTCTTCTCATCATCTTTTTTTCTCATTCAAGCTGTTGCCATCACAGAGAGGCAGATGAAGTTGTCGCAGATGTGGTGCAGCGCATTCAAAGCGGCGCTCAAAAATGTGTCGCCGGGGTCTAAGTTGAGTTTCGTGTTTTCGTCGGTTCGTGGTTTCGTCGAGTCACGTGTTCGTCGGGCGTTGTTTTTTTTGAGTTTGGCAGCCGGATGTCAGACAAGAGCGCGCCGCAGACACCATCTCGGGCCGCTGGTTCGCGGGAGGACCCGATTCTCGGAGTAAAAGTAAAAGACATTTTTATGTGCTGAGATAGTGACCTCAGGCTTGCTTCGGAATGTTTGAGCAGGTTCTTTGATTGTTGTGTGCAGATGGAGCACTTGCATGGTCGGCCGCTGCTGCCAAGTACCCTTCGAAGCGCTTGGCTGTGAAACACGTCAAGCATGTGAAGAGTCAATGGACTAAGAGGGCCAATGGTCAACTCGAAGCAGACTCAGATGATCTTTGGCACCCAGCAGCTAGATTGGCTGTGGCCGTGGATGAAGAAATTCATCTCGCCACAAAGCAAGAACCGGTCCAAAGGATTGGTGAACCCACGGCTGTGGAATAGAGTGTATCAGTGGGTGTATCGCAACCACACGCGAAACACCTGAGAGCGTGCCGACCACGGCTGAAAAAAGGCCACTATACAACTTTTTTTCGACTTTTGAAGCGCTCGAAACGCCATTTCGTATGGGCCTGCCCACACGAAGACGGGGGGCCCGTACGGACGTGACACCTTGTTTTTGGGTGCCAGGTTAGTCACAGGTCACCTATGCTGAAAGACGATGTAATCATGCACGACATGTGGCAGACAGCTCAATCAAATTTTCTTAGGTTTACAAGAACTTGCCAGGCTTTCATACCATATATATATATACATATTCATATTATGTACTGTATATACAGGCCGTGTCAAAGCTATCCGGCAAACATCGGCAAACCATACTGAGCTTTCGGACCCAACCGGAGGATGATTTGACACGTCTGAACATGACGAGCACAGCAATTTTTGCAGCGCTGCCTTGCGAAGCCCAGATGAGCAACTGCCAATTACAAGTCCTTTGGACTGGCTAGAAGCTAACGTGAAACTTAAAACTCCGTCAATGAGGGTTGTATTTCTGGTCTGCTAGTTTTCTGGGAACTTCCCGTAACCCGTATCATACGTATCTCAGGAAAGCTTTGCCATGGAAGACTGTGCTGATATCGTCCTCGACGCCAGATAAGGCACCATCTTCCATTGTGCATCCCTTCGGGTCGACAGTGAACGGATTTGGTGAGGCAGGAGATGGGGAAACTCGGGGCAGTAGTAACGAGAAGGTACCAGTAGCAAGGACGCTATATCGCTACTAGTAACAAGAAGCTACTAGTAATGAACGTAGGATGCAGGGAAAATTCCATGGCGACTGTCAAACTCCTCCAGCCTCCAAAACCGACCAGTGCTTCTTGGGTGCCGCGTCAATTTTGGGTCTCAGCACAGGCCATTTAAGTAGAGGCTATATAGTTTCACTTGCCAGAATGTGGGATGACATGAGCTTTCTGGTGAGCTTTGTCTTGGAGATGGCATTGAGCGGCTGTCGAACTGTGAAGAATAGAACATGTAGAGACGATCTGCTGCGACCTCCTGAAAGACTGCCAGGAATCTTCTGACCTTGATGTGCTTGTGGCCATCAAAGAAGAGGACAAAATAGATGGACAAGTTGGTAGAGTGGACTGCAATGCAAATACTCACATGCTGACAAATGAAATACTGCAAGGCGCATACGCGGACACGTAGCAGGTTGGACACTTGAGTGCTGGGACCGCAATCAACATGTCCAGTATGGCCGCTTCGTTCACGAACCAACCTTCAATAGCTGTTAAGACATTCACACCCAACTTGGACCTTTGCTTATTCTCCCTGACTACACCATGACTCCTCCAGCCTTGAGCCTCCCTCCCGATTTGCAACTCCAAGCTTGTTGAGATTTGTCGAGCGTGTTTTCCTCGAGAATTGTTGGCAATTGTGAGCAGCTTCAGGAGCTGTCTTACTACATGAGCTATGCCAGTTGGGCGCAAAAACATCAGAGGCATGCCCAGCCTGGCGTTTGTTTTTAAGATTTTGGATCTTATATATGCGCTTTCAGCACGTGCGTGCACCATGCAAGGTTTTGCTGCAGCTTGTTTGCGATGCATCAATCATCATCAGTCTTTTTTTTACAGTTTCACCAGAAACCCTACTTGTGTAAGCTGCGCCTGTTTGTTTTGTGAAGCTTCTTGTGAGTGATTCTGGGGATCTCTGAATGGGAAGTGACATTACTGATCATTACTGACTGTATATTTGGAATTACTGAATGCTTAAGGGGATGAGGAAGCATGCAAGTGCTGCAAGGGTCACCCACATGTCCAATTGTGTTTGTGAAAGTGGCACAATCCTGGGGGGAGTATCAGCTCAGTTTGGCTCCAAGTGAAGAGACAGCGGTCATTATCACTCATTATCCATTCCTATGTTGTACAATCAACGAATCATTTAGACGGTCTGACCGAAGACGCGGCGACGACACTGGGGCACTCGTGCATTGTTAGCTCGAAAGGCTGAGCGAGTTCCTTCTGCCGGACAGCCCCACCGAGCCGGAGACTCTGGGGCGGGATCGCTTGAGAGAAGGTGAGGACATGTGAGGACATGTCGTGATATATTTGGTAGTCGATCGAAAGGTCGACAGGCCTATGCCACTGAGAGTTGTCCGCGAAAGTGTTTTCTCGAGTTCGCAGAAGTTAATTTTGTTCTGGCGAAAGATCTGCGAAATTGCGAAAGAGTCTATTATAGTTATACTGTAATACTATATATTGTATACATGAAGAGGCGATACCATCATCAGTGATTTGCAACAGTGCTGTGTGAGCTACCACAACAACTACTACCACTACCACTACCTGGTGCTGCTGCTGCTGCCGCCACTGCCACTACGACTACTACGACTACGACGACTACGACGACGACTACTACTACTACTACAACGGCGACTGCTGCTGCTGCTGCTACTACTGCCACTACTACTACGACGACTACTACTACTCCTCCTACTACTGCTGTTACTGCTACTGCTGCTGCCACTGCCACTACCACCACTGCCTACTACTACTCCTGCTGCTGCTGCTGCCACTGGTTGTTATGCTTTGCGCCTAGAAACCCACCAATGACGCGACATTGTTTGGCAAAAGATTCGCGAAAGTTCCGCGAAAGCATAGGCGAATGTGAAGGTCTGTTTTGTGGAACCCTGCCCAAGCCAAGCAGCGACAGACCTAGCAAGACGAGCGCAACAACCGTTGATAGCTCTTCCAGCTCATCCTCCACCGGTTCTGCTGATTCATCCAACGGTGGTGATTGAGAGTTCTCGCCAATCTGCCTTGTAACACCTCGTCTGCAGTTCCAAAATGGTGCTTGATGGAAGTGCTTAGGCTGCTATGTAGAACCACTAAACCCAGAAGACGTCTAGAGGACATACCCCCCGCGAAAGTTAAACATGTAGTTTGCGAAAGATTCGCAAAAGTTTTTTTCCGCGAAGAATGGCGTTCCAGCAAGAAGGAATTTTGATCAACCACCATTTATTGACTGTTGACTGTTGACTGTCCGCATGAGTCCACTCACGACAAGTAAGATGATGTAGATCAAAATCAGAAACAGCTTGTCACTGCGCACCTGCAACCCCGACAGTAGCGGGGGCTTGGCAACGGGGGAAAGACCCTGTGTTTGCACTGCCTACTTACTCATTAATTGGCGGATCAGTGGGCTTGGTGGAGCAGCGCTTTGGCACAACTAAGCTTCATTCCACTCAGATTGTCTTTGCAGCTGTGGGCGAACCTTGAGAAGAACCTTGTGATCCCGGGTCTCTTTGGCCATTGCCAATTGCACGGATTGCTCCATATCGGGCAGCTGTGCCAAAGAGTCATGAAAAGCCTTGAACTTGCCAAGTTTGTCAGCATGCTCAGTGTCCTGTAGAAGCACTTGCGCAACCGTCCGGCGCTTGATGCTTACACTTCTGCATTGCTGTCAATAGCGCTTGCCTAGCACGCTCCGAAAGGTGTGGCAACTCCAAGCTTCCAGCTCTCGAAGGTCTCGATCGTGTTGATTGACCACCTTCATATAAGCATTTGCATTTGATGGGTCAGCTGAGTCAGCTGCTTGACCTGCTGGTCTAGGTTGCCGCTGCTGCTGGAGACATCGGAGCGAGACCTGGGGCCGAAGGTTCCGCTGCCTGAAACGGCGCCATGAAGGCCAGCCCTGCCACCTGAAGGGGCGGAGTGTGGCACTTGCTGTTCGGCAATTGCCAGAGCCTGCTGCGCCAATCCGGCGATGGCCCCCCCTGCTCCCTGGTTGTTAACTAAAGCTTCAAATGACTGGTGTTGGACATGTCTGCGACAGGCGGAGACTTCATGAGAGCACTTCGGCATTTATTTTTGTGGGGACGGGTGAGATATCGTGGGCAATTGATTCAGCAAGAGGCGCACCTGGCTGCCTTTTTTCTGAAGGAAACGGTGGCCGCGGTGCGGGCAGTTTTAGGCACTGGCAGACGATGGCGGTATCAGTGGGATCCCTTGCTTCCTTTTAGGCGAAACGATGGACAAGTGCATCTGCCGTCGCAATGCCGCACTGCAGAGTTTGATAAGTCGAACACTCTCACCCTGCGACTGCTGACGTATAACTGCAGAACCCTTGGCTTTGATCAGACCAGACTGGTGGAAATAGCTGAAGATTTGCACGTGCGTGGTGTGCACGTAGCCACGTTGCAGTGCACATGTTAACGGCGTGACACAGTGAGGCACGAATGGGCAGCGAAGAACCGGCATCGTCAACCACTTTTACATTGTTTTTCTTGGAGACGTGACCCCAACAATGTCCAGTCAGGAGTTGTTCTGCTGCTTAAGGAACACATCCACTGGTGGTTAGACCCTGGACAGGGCGCTGCTGGTCGTTTTGGGGGCGTCAGGGTGAATTGATCGAAGAAGCAGGCGGCCAATGATCATGCTTGTGTATCTGGGCATCATGGAGCAAGCTCGCAAGGCTGTCAAAGCCGACGCCCAAGCTTGGAACAGGCATCATCTTCAAGAATTGGATGATGCGACAGCGGCTCGGGACCACAAGACAGCTTGGAGCGTCTGCCGTCGTCTTGCTGGCCGAATGTACAAGCGTTTGCGACAACCGCCAATGCACAAGCCGATATCCAAACAGGCTTGGCTCGAGCATTTCCGCAAAGTACAACTGGCCACTGAAGCAGCTGAACCAATGTCAAGCTCCTAGCGGTCTTAACTACGAGTCTTTGCCGGGCTCTTTTCACCCTTTGTTTTCTGGTGATGCGGGGCGCCAGCTGCAAGCAGTATGCCCAGAGGCAAGGCCACACCATGGAGCGCTTCCTGTAGGGATCTGGTCTCTCTTGGGGCACGGAAATGTGCAACCTGGGCAGCTGCGCAGGGCAAGGCTGTCCTCTTCCTAAACCGGGCGGGGATGCTTCACCCAATGGACATCGTCATCAACTTGCTGGATCCAATTGGTAAAGTGTTCTACAAAGCGGCCCTTAAACTTCAGCCTGATCCTCCGCTACCACACCAATATACGGGTATGCGCCCCACCGATCGCGCAGAGATGCCATCCTGCAATTGGCCGTGCTCTTAGAGCGACCAAAGCAGGAAAGCGTTTGCACAAGTGCCAACCTGTATGACTTGACCAAGGCGTTTGACATGTTGAGAACTTGGGCAATGATTCTTTTCTGCGCCCAACTCTTCATGCTCTTTTGGCAGACATGCAAGGAAGGCTGCAGATTCAACTACCAATTGTTGGACAAGCGCCGTTGCGAGTCAGCCTGGGCCTGGGAGCGGGTGTCCTGCAAGCTGGTGGAACTGGCCCTCGGCTGGTGTAAAGCAATACGCTTTCTGAACCAAGTCTAACGACAGCTCTATGACTCTATGAGGGGATTGCGACCTGCAATAAGTTATAAGTGAAGTAGAACATAGGACTGTGGAGCACACGGAGGCATTGAAAGAGGTTTTGCGACCGCACCGCTTGGCTCTCAATCTGAGCAAAAGCGAGTCTCTTGTTGCTGTGCGCGGTTGTGGTCCGATTAAACAGTCTGTCAAGTATCTGGGCGCCCACGTTGATGCTCAGTTGTCTTTGAGGCGGGAAATTACCAAGCACATTGCCGCAGCAAGAAACACGTTTTCCTTGTTCGCCCGTTTTTCCAAAACTCTCACGTTCCACAACTTCACAAGACTCGGCGTTTTCAAAGCTGTCATCAATGATGTGCTGCTCTCAGCTCTGGAAGTTCGAGCACTCAGCACTGCTGACGCGCGAGGCTCGAGTCTGCCAGGAATATGATGCTACGGAGGCTTTTTGGCAAACCGGGGTTTGGCGCTGTTCTTGGTGAAGAAGAGCATCGCGCTGTGCCTCCCACAACTCAACGGCTTGCTCGAACTTGGTGTAGAATTGCGCGCTCGGAGGCTTTTGTGGCTCCGCTCTGCGCTTGTTGCAGAAAATGGTGGTGAACTACGCCTGGATCTTGCTGCGCTGTTTGGGAAGCTGCGTCGTCAGGCTGAGTCGCGCGCCTGTCGACCCCAGTGGCAGGCTCAACAATTGCGCACCAGCATTGTTGCGCCTGCTGGCTAATGACTTGCAAGTCGTCGTACCAGGGTGGGCAGGATTTGTTGAAGGGTGGAAGGAAAGTCTTCTTATTGCAGTTTGGAGCAGAGCAACGCCGTTCCACGAGCGCCGGAGAGAAACGACTCACCGTTTCCTCACCAGCGATTTCAGGCCAAACCTTCTCCTGCAGTTGGGACACCTTTGTAAGTCGCTGCTTCAGTTTGTGTTTTACCTGATGGGAGTCACGGATGAAGCCTGGCTGGAGGGGATCTACTGTGGAATTTCCGCTGCTGGACCGTGGCGCAAGAAAAGGTCATTTTCCAACGCGTGATCAGGAAGCGTGATGTTAGGAACACGCTGAACAGCAAGACGTGTCCGATGTGTCAGAGAGTTTCTACTGCTCTTTCTGTGCAGGCCCAGCGCGAAGGTTGCCATGTTCTTCTGTGGTTGGTGGCATCACCTGGTCTGAGTGGGGGTCGCGCCTCCCACTCACCCTCCTCCAGCCTGCTATCACAGCAAAGGCTTCACGACATGGCCCCCGGATTTGGGACCGGGGCTCTAGCCTTAGCTACCTGGGCACTTCGGCCGAGAGGAGCTTACCAATTTATACTTATTTGTACATGTCTTCAGCACATGCAGTGAGCGAACTGCCTTTCAACCACGGCACCTAGATACAGAAGGACCAATGCTTGTTCATGAATCAGGCAATCCCTTTGAAGCCACTGACCCTCAATCCTTTACCAAACGTGATTGATCATGGCTGGAGTGACATGACGAGTGAGCCGTGAATTTTTGGCACCATACGCCGCTGTATTGATGACTCTGTTTGCTCCACAGTTCTCATTTGCTCAACAGGGTGGCAGTGGGTTCGCAAAGCTGGCATTGCTTGTTTCATGGCTCAGGCCCTTGTTACCGACCAGGATCACGTCAAAGATGGCCTACACCCTAGTTCCGTCAAAGGACTGAGTGCAGGTATGCGGTATGCCGCATGTGTTATGTGGCAGTCGTACATCGTCAAAGTGCAATGATCGATAGACATTTATGAGTCTTGTGAGGCAATGTCCCACGCTGTTCAACAGCTTGCTGACTTCTTGCCGGAGCTTGGCTTTAAGGCTCCTGGTTGAAAGTTAGGGCAAAGGCCTTCATGTTCTTTTCTAGTGCCCACTGCACAGATTTGCCTGGTCCTGCAAAGATACAGGTCATGCACATGTCCGATATCATGGAAAATTCATCTCAACCACCGCTAGTCCTGGGTTTGTTGACTGCGTTGGTTGCCTGCACGTTGAAACTCTTTGTTGTACGCACCTTGGAATGGTTTCCATGATGTTGCGCATGCGCGAGATACTTTCGAACACACGCGACCCAACACTCTGACAACAACAAGCTGATACGTAACAGGTAAGGTTCGCTTGTTTTGGGAAGAAAGAGATAAGAAAAGGTGTTAGAAGGTCTAAAGATGCAAACAAAACAGCATAACAAACACATGCAAAACTGACGTGTGCAGTACATGTTGTATGTCCACATTGCATTTGCGGAGGAAGGTATGTCCTGTACAATGCAAGGAGTGGGATCCTGTTGGATTTGTTGGTGAACATCTCTGAACAAAGCTGTCCCACACTAACTAGGCTGAATCTGGCTGAATGGCACATTGCAACTTGTCAGGTGTTGAATCTGTTACCACAAGCCAGAAAGCCTTTGGTGACAGTTGAAGACATGTGTGCGAGCCCAGGGGTCGGGCTCAGCGACGGGAAGCATATTCCACACCTTCTGGGCCCGTAATTTAAGTTACTGTATACCATGTTATGCCTTGTGCGAATTCTGTTGCAGGTGAAAGAATTTTCCTAGGATGATAAGAGCAGGAGCAAAGAGTACACAGGTAGGAGGCTCAAAGTATATGAGTTATATGAGGTCAATCAAGTGGATGCCATTTTCATCCTTCTGGGTTTGTGCATTCCGGCCACAAATGCAAAGGATGCAATTTTGCCAATTTATGCAGGGTTCATTTGACGCCACAGCAGAAATGAGGCCAGCTCAGGTCTTGCACGCAACATGTACATATACACATGTATACGTTGCACAACAGCAGAAAGAATGAGCCCGAGAATGTTCTCGTTGAGGACACCACAATTTGCTGATCTATAGCTAATTTCTATGGAACATATTGTTGATGCTCCTGCCTGGGGGCTTTGCTGTATAAAAGACTGGTTTAAAGCGTGATCTGTTCCAGAGCCTGATGGGTGGACATGGCTAGGTGGATTGAATCTGCAGAATCCACAAAAATGTTGTAGCTTTCAGATCCTGCTTTAGGCAAGGTCCTTTGAAGGAGATCGATGTGTCAATCAATAATAGCCAGCGCCTGAGATGTTATGTGCAGCACCTTGAAGGCCTTTGGTTTACCACTTTACTACATGCAACTGGGTCTTGAATGTTCATAGCTTCATAGATCTAACTGCAGCAGCTGCTGTAGAATCAGCACGGTGAGCAACACCAACCACAATGATCGACCAAACAATAGAGAACCGATCAACAGCCATCAGCTGAGGTTTGCCGCTCTACAACTCTCAGCTCTTGAAAGCTTATTCAGAGCTTGATGAGCTTCTTGATCGCAGACAACTTTCTTGAATGCAGTTGTAATACAGTCAGATGACTGGAAGAATCAAGAGATTCAAATCCTCAGGCGTGTGCGGCCTTTGGTGCTTTTGGTGAAGGCGAGCTGGCAGCTTTGAGTTGACAAGACGCAAGCTAGAAAAAGTAGACATGTGCGCAAGTGTGCCTGGTTGGGTTGGTGGCTGCTAGGATTTATCGCCTGAAAGGATGTTTAGGAACACCTCTTCACAACGCCTGATTTTCAGACTTACGATTCTCAGCGATTCTCATTGAAGCATGTTTCGAGAGCTCCAGACTGAACTTGAACTTGGTGCAGGTTTGGGCAAAAGGAAAGCGCGTATGTGGTGCTGGAGAAGGAAACTTGTCCTCGTACTCTTGGACCATTATGGCTGCCTTGGCATGCTTTTGGAAGGAGAGCATTTTGCCAGGGTTGCAGGCCCAGATTGGCTAGGTACCAGTTTTGACTACAATGCGTCTACAAACTTGTACCAGTGTGGCCTGCAACCTGATGTACTGTTGCCATGTGACTTTGAGCCATGTTTGCAGGTCATTTATTTCATGCAGCTGGTGGGAATACTACCATCTCTTCAGCTTTTGCAGGAAGGAAGTAGGACCGCCTCAAGTGTATCTCAGCTTTTGTTGACTCATACGGAACACGTGCTCACATGCTCAAAAAGCTTCAGCATTGGAAAACCTACAGAAGATCTGTGAATCCACATGCAGGATCCTGTCCCACTCCGACTATTGGGGGCATCCCAGAAAGTTTGAGACTGCTTTCCTGACAGCCAAGGCGGGCAGAGACCTTGTTGCTTTTTAAAGGCCGCTTTGCCCTCCCCCTAATCCTAATAGCGATGGCCTCCACCCTAGTCAATCTGCAAACATGTTGCTGCAATGCTCAGCCCATGTGTGGTTTGCCAAAAGTGGTTTGGCTAGGCAGATCCCACTCACTCGGAATGGTCATCCTGATCGCAACCAGCCTGCAGGAATACAAGCAAGCCGTGGCCGATCAGAAGATCCCTCCCTGCCAAGCGGAGGTGAAAGATCCCAGTCAACGGGTCGGGTGTTCTCTCTCAGTCTCTCTCTCTCTCCACACATCCACCGACATTGTTTCTGGCATGTGTATGATTGTCATATATTGTCATGTGGCGCCCAGGCAGTTTCAGGCTGAGGCCATCAGCCTATTATTTGCAATTAACTACTTTAAGAACGAGAGGGAAGTCCAATGCACACAAAGATCCATTGATTGGCAAGTTCTTTGCTGCTTTATGTCAGAAAAGTGATGTTAAACAAAGGTGTTGGATGATCTGCGCCTATTCCAATCGTTGAAAGCTTGCATGGCTTCTCGATGCCTGACTCACAACAGGCCGATCTTACTGTGGTTTGGGTCTCGGCCTGCGAGTCTTACTGCAATGCAAAGCTAGTCAAAACAAAGCTTATTCCAAACATTTGCAGGCCTTACAAACAGACCTGTATCAGAAAGCAGGATCTACTAGTAGCATGAGGGCTTGTTACAATGCAGGTACATTGAAAGTGTATGTGCAACAGAGAATGATGGCCAGGGCACCAGAATGGGAATATGGGCAGTACACATTCAAAGACATTGTTGAAGACAGTACGAGCCTCCTTTACGCCCTAAGGCGCAGCTACTCTACGGCTTCGTGCGTTTCTTCGCACTGGAGTGCCGAGCCCCAGATTCTTGCCGTAGCTCTGCAGATGTCAGCAGCGCATGCAGATACTCCATTTGCACCATGTGTTTCATGCGCGGTACAGTGTGGTTTGCGTTAGATGATGTTATATAATTCAGTATCATGCAAATGCAATAATATATTGTAACCACAAATGTCTTTGTACCCACTACAATACGTCTTAACAAGATTATCGTTTTTGGTGGGAACCATATCGTTTTCCACAGAAACGAAGCCCTCAACATAGGTTTAGGGTCATGCCGTGACTAAATAAATCAACCAATAGTTTTGTCTGTCGCTCAGATAGTTCCCAGATATGCGAAATATAGCCCCTAGATAGGCCAAGATTGCCTCAAGATAACAACATAAACCCCCACACAATCTCAAAAAAAAAGAAAGAGAGAAAGTAGGGCGGCAAGACACGTGCAAGACGACTTTTCCGATTTCGGCGTACATCAGGTATACGCCCGAACCAATTCCTTCTTAAAAAGGCTACTACCGGGACGCCCGAAATCCCGGTCCCCGTCGTATACAAGGGTAGAAAAGCGATACTCTCCCACGACCTTATAGCAAAGACAAAGACAAAAACAAATACCGAGACACAAACAAAGACGCCCTACACATACCCACATAGGCCGGCGCCCGGCTATCAAGCGTAAGCGTCATAAATATTTCGAAAAAGGTGAAGTTCATCCGTCTTTTTATTTTTTTAATTAATCTATTTATAGTATTTCAAAAATACATAGCGATAAGAGAGGGGATAATTCAGTATCATGCAATCAATGGGCTTATCAGTATGGGGCTTGAATTACAGAACTTCCAGCTTACGCACCCTGAAGTGAGCTAGCTACCCTTTATGGTTATTATGGTTGAGGTGGCCAATATTGGCCAGTGCCAATTAGCTGGGACTGAAAGATGAGCCAAGGCCACCTTGGCTCTTGCGTCAGCCAGGGTTTAGTATCCGTGCTTTCTATGAGTATCATGAAGTTCTTGGCAAGCCTGAACAGATGTTCTCTCCTAGGTACCAGTGGGGCAACGAGGCGGCAAGTATGCCTGCGGATCCAGCTTCAGTCGTGACTTTTCCTCTCGGGTTATGAAAGTCGTAGCAGAGACTCTGACAAACGTAAGATTCAGGAAATTGAGGGCATTCCCTCACAACACAAAAACTAACTACGCCTCATGTAATTGCAAGGATGACAAGTAGAATGTGCCTTCATTTAATCTGGAGATGTGGAGGTAAGGGCATTCAATGTGCTTCAACACTGTGAAGACTGCCACATATATATATATATACTATATAATCTACTTGCTTTGTTAGCCCTTACTCTAACTATGCTTTTTTGTTTGTCTAGATGACATGTTGATGGTGAACATGTAATATCAAGTCAAGTATAATGGAAGGTTCAGCTTTCTTTGTGCGCTACAGATACAAGGTACCTTGTTACTAATAGCGATGCCCTTGTTACTACTTGCCTTTTGAAACGGATGTGTGTTTTGCTTCGTGTTTGGATCCTTTATGTGTGTGTGTGTGTTGCCTCCAAAGCATCGCCAAGTATCGTTTGAAGGGACCATGTCTGCATCACAGTCCTCAAAATGCACACTTAGCCATCCGATGCACCTGGGCCTCATCACTCCTCAAAATCGCACTTAAACCTCGCTGCTGCCCTTGTTTATGAAGTCGTTGTGCCCAACTGGTCCACGATGTGGTCGAGCTCATGCTGCGCAACCTCTTTGGAGATCTAACGCTGTGGCTGGCCAATTCGGGTCAACTCCGATACGAAATATTGCATCAGAATCATATTGCATCTTTGGTCGTTCCGCCGTTTGGTTTAGGAAAACCATTTCAGGTACAGCCCTGAAAGTCCAGAATGAGTGTAAAACCAGTGTGCAAAATCAGTGTGCACCAAAATGAGTGTGCAAAATCAGTGTGCAAATGAATACGCAGTCGAACATCAGTGCAAACGCGAGCTGCTTTGCCATCACAATTGTTGCCATTTTTCCCTCTGCAAGCCCAAGTCAGGGCCAATGGTTTGTTGCATAGCCGCTGCCAACCCTGTACCTGAAAGCCTGCATGGCCTAGAGCCCACAATGACCAACAATATTCAAGTTCATCCGTCCAAGATGAAAGTATCAGTCGATAGCCATTGACAAACATGTTGTCATAAATTCAAGAGCATTTTCTTCAGCAGGCACCAGGCAAACAGGCATCAAACGGTTTGGTCCAATGGCTTGTGCGGCTTGTTGTGTGTATTCGGCACAAGCACACAAAGCGTGCCACCTTTGCTACTGCTTTGTCTTCCGGCCGGACACTTGTTTTGAAAGTTTTGCAAGGCAAAGAGGGTCAGCCTTTTGCAGTCTCCTTGCCCAGTCACATTCAGCCGAAGCGGCCACTGTTCCAGGGCTGCAACGATGAACTTGAGCGCTTGGTTGGTACTGTTGGGGAGAGCCCTGTTGTCATCGATCCTCGGCCAGGTCCATGCTATCGCTTCCAAACCATTTTTTGCAGCTCTCTTTTGGTGCTTGCCCATTTGGGCCAGTCTGAGACGGCTGCATCAAATTTCAGAATACACACACAGCATGCGGAGACTGCTGCCAACCAACCTTGGCAGACTCTTTGATGTCTTTGCAACTGCCTGAGACTGAGTGCATGTGTTTGGGAAATTGTCAGGATGGAGCATGTGCCGCTGTCAGTCCGCTATGGCTCAGAGCATAGAGACTGCAGCTGGTGTTGGTAGATCATGCTTGGTTGCCGCAGCGAATCCTTTTGATCATGTTGAGGATCCTACCTACTCCGACACAACTATCCAGTAGCTTCAGCTGCAGCTCTGAATCTCTCTCTTCGGATGACTCTGGGGAACCCAAGCCTTTCGCATTTTGTCAGCCCTCACCATGGCATGTGGCATGTCACTGAGGAACAGGGCTCATATCAGCCTTTCTTGTGCTCCAAAAGTTCAAACCACAAGGAGTTCGATATTGTGGTCCTTGCCTTATACGGCTTCCTCAGGAGATGAAACAGCTTGATCGTCGCACGCAAAAACAAGACTTGTGCGTGCGATGGTTGCTCTCTCCTTCTAGCTCATGTATCCTGCATGTATATACCTCATGTTTGTGCCTTTATATAGTTCATACCACTGCATCCACTGCCATGTCATGTAGCTTTCTATAAGCTCATGCGCTCATGCGACAACTGCATTAACTTCCTCCATGTTTTTCCTTGAATCTCTCTAAAGCACTCATCAAGCTCCAGACAAAGCAATAGTGTTTAACATGCTCATCATCAGAAAAAAAGAGGTAGAGCAAGCCTGTTTTGCAAATATTTCTCCGTAATAAGACAATCAGTAGCTTTATATAGCTTTAAAATGCTATATATATATATTATGTTCAAGCTCAACGGCCTGTGAGCCAGCACAATTTTGCCACCGAGAGGGCTCCAGCATCTAGCAAGATGTTCAACTCCATGGCGCTTAGGGCTTTTTGACAAAAAAGTAGGATTCAATGTTTCCGCAGATGTCCCAAATAAGTTTTCCAGCATTCTTGAATCTGTGAACTGGCAACTCGTTGGGACAACGTGGAGGGTTTGCCCCGAAAGTAAACCTTCCGACGACCCAACATGGTTTTCGGGGGGCGGGGGGGCTGGTGACCGTTTTGTTTGTGTTACTACTCGCGTAAATCGACATTCGCGTTGCGCTTTCGGCTTCGTGACGTTTGGTTCGTGGTTCTACTCAGGTAAATCGACATTTGCGTTGCGCTTTCGGCTTCGTGACTCGACACTCGCGTTACACTTTCGGCTTAGAGGACATGGCGGGCTCCACGTTTGAGGTGTGTTTGTGTTTGTCGTTAGTTCTTTTGTTGCGTTTGTCCGTTTTGAAGTGCCCTTCCCCCAATCAGCATCTGCGGGATTTTTCGCAGCTGACCCTTTTTTGGATGCCCACATTGATGTGTGGCTCCCGAAAGGCAAAAAGCCGGAGAGACTGGACAGCAGACCTGGTCTTTTTTGAGTGTCTTGAAAATCCACTCAAGTCATCGTCTTAGAGTTCATGAACTCCAAGACGATAAGTGACCTATAAAGCGCATGCTTTTCTAGCCCTGTGCGCCCTGTGCATGTTGCTGTCGGGGCAAGCCCCCCAATCCAGTAGTCTTGTATCTGGAGGCAACCAGCTGCAACTGGCAACTACTCGGCTCCAGGTTCAATATGTGAAGAACAACTTTTCCAGCAATCTTGAATCCACATGGAGTTGCAACTGGTTGCCAGATAACCAATATTTACCAATAATATACAATAGTAAAACCACATGCTGTATATATTTGTATATATTTGTATCCATTGCGACCTATAGTGCGCACAGCGCAATTTGCAGTATAGATGGTCTTGGGCAGGCCAAAAGTAAGGCTACCATATCACAAAAGGTATCAAAAGGTAGCCCTCACAAAATACCTTGAGTTTGTCTTGCGAAGCAAGGGTTGGGTTGTCCGGTCTAGTTATTGAATGTTATTGATTACTGCAATCATTTCAATCTACCTCCCTTCACAGGTGGATCTCGTTGGCAGATGATCATCGGATCAAACGGACTTACAGCGGATCATCGGATCTGCAACACTCGGATCATCAGATCATCGTCGGATCATCGGAGCAAAGATAACCGCGGCTGTGCTGCGGATTATCGGATCTTCGGCTCGGCGGACCATCGGCTCATGCTCCGCGGATCATGGTTCATCAGATCGGCGGTCGGAGCGGATTTTCGGATTGACGGATCAGTGAGCGTGGGATCTTCGCATCATCGGATCGTTGAAAGAACACATTTGCAATCATTTACGGTTTGTTGCCTTTCTCGAAAGTTTTTCCTCCTGCATCTTCCTGCTTTCCTACCTGTTGTGTTTCTCCGCTTTTTCAAGTGTATAGAAGTGTTTTATGTAGACGTCTACGTCGGAACATCGTCTTCAACATTGAGTGTTGCTGTTGGCGCCCAGAGCTAACCGGAAATCTGGAACTTGACCTGTGTGGACACAGCGTGACACAGCAGTGCTGCACATTAAATAACAGGTTTGCTTACTTATTCTCTTTGTTCCTTTTTGCTATTGGCACGAGAGAGTAAGAATCCAATACCAATACCGTATTTTTCTTCCACAAAAAAGTTGACATTTTAGTCAAGACCTTCCTGACAGACGGTGTCCATGCGAAGTCCAGAGCGACGGGAACCCAATGAGTGGTGCCACTGTCACGCTTAGGCTTGAGAGAGATACGGAGAGTAAGACTAGCGGCCTTGCAGTTGTGAAGCCCCCATCAGGATACATTCTCGCAAGGGCGGTAGGACTTTGGTTCGATGATTAATTGTTGGAAAACCTTAGTGTTTTCCCATGTTGAATGCCTTGAAGGGTTTGAATTTCTTTCTTATTTGCCAGGATGCGCTTTTTCGGGACGGTGCATCCAGAAGCGATGATTCACATAGAGGCGAGATCTTCCGAGCATGCCAGCCTGGGAAACACATTCACGCACGAAGGAGGCGCTCCTTCAAGTGTTCTTTGTATTGATTTAAAGTTGGAATATTCTGAATTATTCTGATCCTGCTTGCCATCCGTATAATTCCTGCACCAAAGAGTCTCAACAAGTTTGACAGTTTGTGTCATGCCGAACCTCGTTGGAGTCAGCAGGGGTCACGGTACAGTAAAAGATGCAAAACGAGTAAGCAAGGTGCCAGTTGAAAGGTCCTGATTTCCATGCACACTGGATTGCCACACAATCCACGAGAAGTAACTTTCAGTTTCTTGCTCTCTGGCAAAAGACACGAGGCCCCGCTACTGTATTCATGTGTGGAGGTTTTACGCCGGGAGGGATTGACGACATAAGGAATCAGGGAAAACAAATTAGGGCCCATGTTTCACGGAGCTACCTGCAAAAGAGAAGGGACAGGAAGCCTGAAACAACCATAAGATGCTGAACGCTTGATTGGTGACATTAGTGGAGACTGGGGCTAGCGGCGTCCAGGACCCTATCGAGTTTCGGGATCTCAACATCGTCTTGCGGAGAGAGCGTCTTGCTCAACTCAAGGAGCCCCGTTCGACAACCTGTGTGGCCTACTTTGCTTGGAAAGGTCCTGATTCATGAGGGAAGTAGAAGTGTGCAGCAGTTGCGCCCTAGCGAGCTGAGAATGTGTATTCCCAGCATGCAGGACTTTCCACCAGGTTTCAATTCCTTGATTGTTATTGAAGCTAAGACGAAAGTTGAGTTGAAAACTTGCACCTCTCAGACAGTCAAGGGACTTTGAAATCACCAGTTCAGAAGCAATGAAGGCATGCCCAGGCTCCCGCGATCTCCCAATATGTCACTCTAATGGTTTATGTTTGAGGTACTGGCAACTGGAAGCAACCAGGGACACACCTTATCAGGTTAATTCAGCTAGGATTTCTATCAATGATGTTGCCCTGCCTAAAGTTTAAACCCCGTCCCATGCAGCTCCTTCCACTGTTTTGGTCACATGCGCTGGCTTGGTAGGAGGAATTCAATCATGCGCTGCAGATGCTCGAAGATGGATGCAGCCTTGAAGAGTTTCTGACACGTCATGACCTCAGGCTTCGCTAGATGAATGCAGCACAGCTTGCAATCTCAGCGGCTTTTCTTGGGTAATAAACATGGTCGGTCCTGTAAAGATCTTGGTTGACATAGTCAGCTGCAAGGTTATGTTCAGCTTTGCCTACCTATTGTCCCACAACAAAAGGGCTCCAATAGCTCCGGGAACTACGTAACATAATTAATTTAATTAAGTGAGGACTCCGAGACAACAGCATCCGTTAGGGCGTCTAGAACTGAGCGCGATCCCACAGACTTGTTTTCCAAACAACCAAGTCAAGGTGGACTTTGATGGTGTTGTTATTTTCTTTCTATTCTTTTTTTAAGGGAGGGGTAGGCCGCTAGAAGAGGTAGCTAGTAGCTGCGTCCAGTAGGTAGAAGCTTACTTAAGCTACAAAGTAGCTTAAGTAAGCTTCTACCTACTGGACGCTCCTAGTCTCCGGACGCAGGATAACGCTTCTTCAAGGAAGCTCCCCCGCAGGCATTTTGGCTCACAGTCACGTGCCTTACGCCCCCTCGCAAGGGCCGGGGCGTGGCCACCGACTCCTCCCATCGGGGTCACGTGTCCACAGACCAGACACTCACCTGTGACTGGATTGCTTGGTTCGCTGGATATGAAGAGAGAAGATGGATCTTTGTCGAAAGATGGGTTCATTGAATGGGCTACTATGGGTATGGCAGACACGCTCGGTTCTTCTGTTCGTGATGTTGGCGAAGTGATTGAGCATGTCGGGCATGACCCTCTCAAGGTTCAGGTCCGTAGAACGTCCATGCTCTTGAAGGATGAGGTGGTTCAGAATGAATGGTCTTGCTTTGACTTGCTTTGTCCTGTGCAGCATTGTCGAGTCGACCTGTCGGTTGGCATGCGGATTGGGGTCTATGTCAAGCCGTGCCAGAGGCTTCAAGTGGGCCAAGTGTATGCTGATGCATCGGTTCCTCTCTGGAACTTGCCGCAGCATGATCTCCATCTTGCATGGAATGCCAGCCACCTCTTCGCCGGTGCTTATGAAGGATGGTTGAGAGCCATGTGGTGGCTACAACAAACGAACTTGGGGTACTCATTTGCCTCTCATACGTCTGTTGACTGGTGCCCCGAAGTAATGAAGACTTGGAGTTTCAACCATGGAAAAGGCGTGCAGAAATTTCCCATTGAGATTGACTTCAACTCGCAGGAGGTTTTTACTGGCATTTGTGCTGACATCAGCGAGGTCACCTTGCTCTGAGCTACCTCCCACAAGTCCAACCTGGTGATGACACTCTCACCCCCTTGCCCCAGTTGGAGTAAGGGAGGACGGCGCTCGGGCCTCGCTACAGATGAAGGGTTCTGCTTCATCGATGCTATTCAGCATGTTGCTCGTATTACGCCTCTTCTGGCCATTTGTGAGTGTTCTGATGGGATTGAGACGCACCAACATTGGAGGGCTATCTCTGCAGCATTCCAACTTGCTGGGTACAAGAAGATTTGGTCCCAAGATGTGGCCATTCATCAAATGACCTGCAACTTTCGGACTCGATGGCTGGCAGTCTGGGGCCGACAGGATCTACACTGTCAGAAGCTGGAGGAACGAATTGTTTGTGCTACTTCCAAGAGACTTGCATGGGATGATGCCAAACACTGCTTTCTTCTTCCGCCTCAAATGATGGATGCGCTGATCTTACGTGAGGACCAGCTTCAAACCTATGGTGATCGACAGCTTTTGCCTCCAAACAAGAGGGCTCGAACCCATGAGGAGGCGAATGTGCAGCAAGTCCTTGAGCAGCGATTGATGCAGCAAGGGGAGTGTCTTCCTACTCTCTGTGCTTCCTACACCGGTCAACATCTTCTCCAAAAGGAGCATCTTGAGGCCAAAGGAATATTTGCCACCCTGACCAGACATGCCGATGGGTTCAGATTCCTGGACCCCTTTCTGTTTGTGGCGCTATTTGGGACCTCAGACTCTATTGGCCTGCCGGTTGACCTCCGCCTTGCCTTTCATCAGGTTGGTAATGCCATCTCACAGCCTCACGCACTGGTCGCTATCTTGTTTGCCTTTGAAGGAATCTCTGGAGAGTCACCTTCTAAGCTGGCTCTGGTGCAACAGTGTTGGGATGACAGGCTGACTGTTGACAAAGCGCTTATTCGGCAATGTGATGACATGTATGTGCTACAACCTCTGGCAGACTTCATTGCCAAAGCTCTGCCCAGCATTGTGACTTGGCAGCCATGGCTTGCAGGACATTCGATGATTCGGTTTTGTGACGACGTGAGTCTCATCCCGATGAATGTACAGGAAAACCGCACAGTTATCCATCAACTGCTTGACGCCTTGGACCTGGCTGCCTACCATGAATCTCTCCTTCAAGTACTGTTTGAAGGTCAGACTCTTCCCAGCGATGTTCATTGGGATGCGGTGATGTTACAGTGAAGCTGGGGCCACACACCTTATGCACTATGCAGGTGATCCGTGCATGCACTACACACGATGATGCGGATCCGATTATCTCCCCCACACAGCCGTGGGACATGTATGAAGCAGACCCAGACCTTGATCATCTGCGGGATGTTAGCCGGGCAGGATTCTTCCATGTCTTAGAGTACGTTTGCCAAGATGAGGAACCCCTGCAAAAGGGCAAAGTTCTCCTCCTGCAACAAGATGGATCTTTTGAGTGGATCCTCAATGCAAATTTGGACCGACTGGGCAGCATACCAACCTTCCGAACTCATGAGTCCTCTGTACATTTCTTCAAGGTCAACAAGGATGCGTGCCAGCAGCTCCTTGGGGTACATGTTGTGATGGCTATCCAAGGGGCTTATGACCCTATCAGTTCGAACAAATGGGTCTTGCTTGCAGGAGGCCAAGAGTTGCGATGGTGCAAGATATGCCAAGACCCACGGACAATCACGCCTCGCCAGTGCAATGATCTGTTAGAACAGCAGTGTCATGTCACTATGCGCAACCTGGTTGCTTGCAAAGATGACCAACCCATGATGCTCATCAATGGTGATGTTCTCTGGAGCGATACCCGTGCTCGCAATGCTATTCCACTGGCCTTTGGTGGGATGGACCGGCTCATTGAACAACCTAGTTGCAATGTTCGCAACGACACCTTGGGAGCACGTCTTTTGCAGTTCAATATGGAACCAGGATCACTGGCCATGGATGAAATGGTATTCCACTTTGATGTTCTGCAGCTACTCATGCCCTCGATTTGTTGGTGTCCTCCGGCAATGTGGGCCAACAGTGAGTCACAGTTCAGATTTCCCGTCCAACCAGCTGACCTACAACTGTGTTATCAGCACTTTGTGGTTCCCATCCTGGTAGTCTTTGATTGGATCTTCGTTGAAGTGAGATTCTTCGAAGGACAGTGGCGGGTTCTCTATCACTCACCTGAACAACTGACCATCCGCCTTGAGCTGGTGAATGTGATGGGTATCCAGGTTGCGCACAACGCTTACCGGTGGGTTCGCACTGCTGAGGATTCGGAACTGCCTCCATGCCATACCCTCCGAACCTTCTACGCACGGGCCGGAGCTCCCTTGCTCCCGATGACTCATCGTACTACTCAGAGACTCCAGCGTGACCAGTTCTCAGCACACATCATGCAGATCATCGATCAAGCTGACTTCGTTTGGAGGGAAACAAGGGCTGATGACAGGATGATTCAGTTTGCACAAGCTTCTCGCGCAGCCTTTCTCTTGGCTATCACAGAATCGCCGAGTCGAGCAGCTGACTTGATCTTGAGGGCCACGGGAAGGGAGCTTCATACATATGATGTCCGAGAAGTCTTCTTTGTTGCTGAGGAATGGCTGGACATGAGGCTACATATCTATAGAACACACCCTGGATGGGCTACCAGTGATGAGATTGAATTTGCCATGAGTTTCTTCCTGCCGGACACCTTTTGCCCGCCGGTCCTGCATCATGATCTCTCTCTCATTGCTCCAAGTGTCAAGCCAAATTGTGCTGATATCCAACGCTTTGTTGCACTTCGAGAAGGACACTGGATTGGAATTGAAGTAGTGTGCAATGCTCATGAGCACACTTGCAGAGCTGTCTTCCTTCAGGTCCCACCCCGAGATCAGCAATTTTGGCATGACTTTGCCATCGACTATATCGTCCCCTTTGGATTCAGGCCAATTGTGATTATTGACACAAATCGAACAGGATGTGTGGTTGGGAGCTCCTCTATCGATGGCTTGTGGTTGACATTCATCTGCCTGATTCTTTCCATGTCCCACAACAGAACCGGCAGATTATTGATCTCATTCTTGAGGAGTCAAACCAGGCCTGGCGGACTGCAGGTGCCCTCCGATGCTCTGCACCTTCGCCCAGAACCTCCGTAGACTCTTCCTGGTTGTTGGAGGCATACGGTTCCTACAACCATGCGCAGCAGTCTCCCTTGGTGGAATGGAAGGACAGGCCAGTACTGATTCACCCATGCAGCCTGTGGATCCATGGCAGATTGATGACCCATGGAAATCCAAAAAAGAAACCTATGAAGCAGAGTAAGTGGGAAGATCTTCAGCTTCAGTCTGATCATCCCTTCGTGTCCAAGGATAAGTCTTCGTTGCCTTTCGTGCAGAAACAACAGCTGTCCACCAACCGAGGAGGAATTGCATTTGTCTCCAAGGGCAACATTCAACAGGCACGGGAGGTGGTGCCGAAAGAACCATGTGCACTTCTTCTAGACCCTGGAGATCCGCTTGCCAAGCTTCCCAATCTTTCTGGGCCATTTGAGGTGATCGTCTTTGATCCAGCTCTGAACCAAGAATACAAACGGCAGGTGCATCTTCTGGTGATCAAGCCGGAGGTGCATTTCACCTTGCCAACTCCAGCCATTACGCTCACTTTGGCTGCGGTCTGTGAGATTGTCTTGGAATGTGATGCTCGACTTACCAGCAAGGACGTCTTTCAGAGCTTCTATGATAACCCTCTTGCGAAGTTCAAGGCTCAGTTGAAAGAAGTTTGTCCAGATCCTATTTGGGGGCACGCGGCTATCTATGGATAC